CCGCTCACTTGACTCGAATATCTGTCTCTATATCTCCCTATCTGCTATTATATATCCGCTTTATTTGCCGGGCTAATATACTAAAATAGAGGGCGCCTAGAAAAGACTAGAGTTACCACGAACAGTCATGATTCTTCTAGAATCTCGTGACGTGTTACAAGCGTCATGTGACTTCCGCTGTCGTAACAGTATGGTTAACTTGTTTCTTTGTTTGTTGTTAAGCACAAAGCTACACAATGAGTTATCTGTGCTGTGCTCACCACGGGTATCAAAATCTAGATTTGTTTTTAGCATTACAAGTATTCAGACTTACCCCTGATCCACTGGGGAAGGGGGAAATCAGTCACTCTGGATTAATGTTACAAGTGGGGTGCTTGAGGGTTCAGTGTTGGTATCTTTGCTCTTTAATTTCTGATTTATCTCAATGACATAGATAAAGAAATGGCCAGTAAATTATTTAATTTTTTTATTTTTTAAACTCTCAGGTGTTGCCTGCTTTTAGAAAGATGTTGCTGCTTTACAAAAGGATTTACATCATTTGGCGAGTTAGATGAATATAACTGCCAGATAACTTTTACTTTACTTATGATAAATGCACGTGAATACATACTGGTTATCATAATTTGACTTATAAGTATAATTTTGATGGGAACAATCTTCACAATGTTATGGAAGAAAAATATCTAGGTGTTTTGGTTGATCAGTCTCTTAAGCTGTGTATATGCAGTGTGCCATTGCTGGCATGGCAAATAGGATATTGAGTTGTATTTAGAGAAGTACTGATATGTGTCCAAAGAGGTTATATATACTCTCATTGTATAGGTCACTGATTATACCTCATTTGGGGTATTCTATTCAGGCTTGGTTTCAATCCTTACCTTAAGAACTCGTTTTGTTTTCTTGAAAGGCATATTTAAAAAATTGCACTGCTTCCAGTACAACCTTAGATGTCAATAGGTGTAACTTAGTCTGAAAACAATGCAAAGGTAAATTATACAACTTATAGTTCTTGTTTTAAGTCCAAAGTGCTCGAGCAAAGCTGTGTCAGACTTCGGCAGTAGTAGCGTCCGTTCACATGTAGGAGACTCACGTCTTAGGTACTGACTGTTGTGATAGAATTGCTTTGTCCAACACAGAACCCTCTAGTCAGATGTATAAAACTGAAAACTTTGCTTTCCAAGGTTAACTCATAGCTAGAACCTAGATCTAGAGAATTTGCGTAGTTGACGTTTTTTATCTAGTTGATACAGCTGCAGGTTAATAACGTAGCACTTGCAAATAAGTAATCGCGCACCCTCAAGTGATATGAAGGCAGGTTGTTACTTGACAACTCACAAAGCATATTCGTAATCATAGAATATGGCTAATGGTGCATTGTTAACTTGTTAGTAGTGTTACGAAATGTTATTGTTATTACTTATTATTACCAAGTTATAAGTAAAACTAGGAAAAACGCTTTTAGCTAAGGTAGCTTAATTCAATCATGTGCATTTAGATTTGCATAAGGTGAAGGCGGGTGAGGGCTATGCCTTTCCAACAACATTTGTCAGTCAGATTGACAAGTTTGTGATTTTGTGAAATTTTGGTTTTTACTCTACCGACTTTCTCAAATGCTTTGGTGGCTTGTTACTCTGCAGTTGGTTTGTTTACTACCCAACAGTGTGTGCAAAGTGCTTATAAAGTTTTGTTTACATGCAGTTTACAGTATGTTTGAGATTTTAATTTGTATTACACATCTGGCCCATTCCTACTATACGTACTAATGCACTTATGATTATCTAATGAAACTAATTCCACCACATGACGAGAACAAATTACTTTATTACCTTCTTTAATTTTTCTGAAAGCTAAACACTTGTACACTGTCGTAAATTCTTGTAGGCTTACATTAAAAATAGTTTTTAAATATCTCCAATAATACTAGAATTAACGTAAAAATCAAATTACTCATCCAGGCTTAACCCAAAAATCGCGATAGCTAACACAGATCGAAATACTTCACGAAAGCACATTGACTGATTCAACTCTCAATTTTCGAACAACTCTGTCTTAACTACACTTTTCAAATCCCTATTTATAACCTATCTTTGGATGCAATGGAAAACTTGACATCAGATTTTAGAACTTTCTAGGCCTATCACGACATCATCATTATGACTGGAAGCTCCCTATAGTTAACAAACAAATTACAACATTAAAATATGGCTTACAGGCTCTGCTCCAGGCATAAGAGAAGTAGAGAAGTTTCCTGAAGGAAGGTTCACTTCTAGCTTTCCTCTTACTGGAACTTCTTCCTCACTTGCTGTTTGCATCACTCTTTTTTTCCTTCTTCGTATCTGGGGGCACTTTCTCACCTTTCCTTACCAACTCAGGTCTAACTATTGTTACGTCTCTGTTCGTTAATTGATTTCCCGTAAATTCGTTCCGACGAAACTTTAGCGACACAAG